CTCTTCCGAGCCCTGGGACTGCGGCACTTGGTGGTTGTGGACAATCGCAACGAGGTGAGTCCCTGCTTGTGGCATGCAGTCAGCCTGGTCTCCTCAGGCCCAGGTGGGGGACACGCTGCCCTTGTGTCCAGGCTCTACCTGCCAGCGTGGGGCTGTACCTTATCCCTTCCCTGGCAGGTGGTGGGCATGGTCACCCGCAAGGACCTTGCCAGGTACCGGCTGGGGAAGGAAGGCCTGGAGGAGCTCTCACTGGCACAGACGTGATGCAGGGCAGCATTGCTCAGCAGAGATGCACCCCAGCCCCTCAGAGCTGGGGATCCCCTTTGGTGGGAGGTGAGGAGAGGACTGGGCCAGCCTATGCAGGCATCATGGTGCCTGGAGCACCGGCACGTCTGTGCTCCCTCGGCTCTTCTGCCTGTTGCTGCCTTCCCATGTCTACTGCCTCCCCTTCTTACTCCTTCCTCTGCTTCCCCAGGGGATCAAAATGCACCCTTGGCTCCATTAGCTCCTGGCATAGGCTCTCCTTGTGGGTTGGGTGAAGTCTGGAGTGTGCCAAGGGGAGCAGAAGTGCCCTGCTGAGTTGAGTGCCCTCTGCCATGGCACATGGCCCCTATCGCCTCATCCATCCACTCTGCACTGTTCAGGGCCTAGCCCTGCTGCAGGGCCTGTGTAGGGAGTGGAGGGACATGGTGGGCCTCCCTCCTGCTCCCAGGGCCCTGTCCCCCCTGCCTTATGCTCCTGCTGGCTGGGTCAGGCTGAGCCCTGGGGCATGGTGCTTGCACTTCTGCCCCTCTGGAGGAGGGGGCCATGCCCTGCTCGCCTGTGCAATAAAAGGGCTCTTGTGGTTCAGTAGCTGGTGCCTCTTGCTCTTTCTTGGTTCCCTTGGCCACTTTGACTCCAACCTGCACATGGGGAGGCATCCCAGGGGTTTGGGGCAGGGCTGGGGAGGGGAGAGCTGCCTACTCTAGTACAGTGTTGTTCCTGCAGGCCCTCCTCCCACTATTGCTGCTGCCTCTCCCTTCCACCTGTGCTGGGGTCCAGAGTCACCCCTGAGTGTGTTTCTGCACTTGCTGCAGCTTCTTCTGCCCTTTCTGGCAGCCAGGGCCCTGCCAGGTACCCCAAAACCCACCACAGCTCTGGATCCAGCCAGGGGCAGGAAGCAGAGCCTGCACTCCCCTGTGTGATGAGGAGAGCTCCAGCCCTGGCTCCCCCATCTCCCCCTATCCTTGGCATTGCCCTCTGCCCTGGATTGGGGCTGTCTCCTCCTTGCTTAGGCAGGAGCACCCTGTTTGCTGGAGGGGCTTTTGACTGTGGGATACTGTGCTGAAATAAAACTTATTTGTACTTTTATTGTGGTGCTGCCCATCTCTTACTTTCCTCCATCCCCCAGTGCTGCTGCCCAGGTGCCATGATGGTCAGTGTCCCTCTGCGGCCTAGCTGAGCCCTGTCCCCACTGTTGGCACAGGCTCGAGTGCTGCATACTGGGGAGCTGCATGGGAGGAGGCCAAGCCCCCCTCCAATTTTCTCAGCCTCTCAGGAGGGCTGGAGTGCTCAATGTGGGGCATGTCTGCCCCTTTCTGGGTGCTTGTCCCTTTTAAGGCCAACAAAGAGCTGCCACAAAGAGAAGAATGCCAGGTACGGCACCCAGGGCCCTGGGGAATGGCCATCTGCTCTCCCAGTGCAGTGGGACAGCCCTGCTCTCTTGCGTGGGCCTGGTTCCCCAGCACTGCTGTGGGGCAGGGAGACTGTGGGGTGCAGTGGTTCCCCAAGGCTGTGATGAGTCCCCACTGGGTGCCAGCAGCCAGGTACTTTATGAGGCCCCGTGTTGCCCTTTGCCCCAGCATGTCCGAGATAAGGGGACGGGATCCACCAACTTGGGCCGCAGAGTAAACACGGCCTGCTGGCTCCTGCCGGCACCACACTTCTCTCCTCTCTTTGCCGCTGGGGCAGCTGGCAGCCCCCCAAGGACCACACTGAGCGGTGACACTTTGTCACTGATGGCAGGGACATCACAGTGGCAAGTGGCAAAGGACACTACACACACTAGTGCCTGGTGGGAGTCATTTATTCACTCATCCCATTGCCAGCTCTGCCCAGCAGCTCCAGGTGCCTTGGCGCTGGCACTGGGGCCATTGGGTTTATCATTAACTGGATGGCACGTGGCGAGGCTGGGGGCCCTTGGGGCCATGGTGGGGTCACAGCCCAGCAAAGGGCTCGCTCTCCAGCCCTGGGCGGCCCAGCTCAGGCGGCAGCTCCCGCCCAGCATCCAGCCCTGGCTCCACCGTCCAGTTGGCCAGGAGGTCGCTGAAGTCAGGTATGCCAGTGTGGAGGAGGCCAGCAGGGCTGGGGCCTGGCTCCCTCCAGAAGGAGGGTGGCAGCTTCCTCCGGTGCATGGGGGTGATGTGGCCATATTTCCTTTCCAGCTGCTGTGTCTTGCCGCCGGCTGCCTGGGGCGATAGGCACCGGTGCACACCATACTCAAAGAGCCCAGCCAGCGGCCCCAGCCTGTGTATGCCTCTGGGGCTGGCACATGGTGCCTCGGCCTCAGTGTGCTGGGGTGAGCTGCAGTCCTCAGGCACGGCACAGCTGCTGGCAGCCTCCTCCCGGCCCTGCCGCCCAAAGTACCGCTGGATGTCACAGCTGATGAGCTCCGAAAACTTGAGGAGCCGCAGGGTGGTCTCAGCAGTGTTGGGGACAGCCAGCTCTGAACTCACACTCTCCTCCACTGCCTCCTCTTCGTCCTCTTCCTCCTCCTCCTCCTCCTCCCCGGAGAGTTCGGGGAAGTCTGGCTCGGGGCACACGGGCAGCAGCGGGCCATGCGGGAAGGATGAGGG